ATATGTATGTATATAGAAGAATAACTGGGATAACTGTACTGCTGATGTCTGATGGTATATTGAAAAGAACAGATAATGCTTAAAATTTGTTTTACCAATTTTTACCAAAAAAATTTTTCTGACCAATTTTGCATGCTTGTGTCTGGTATTCTGAGCAACTGATTTGAAGACAATATTATGCAATGGAACAACCATTAGTGAATTCCTACCACCTTTTTAGTGAAACTCTGTATTATCTGTAATGTTTTATCTAATAATTATTTTTTGTTCTCTTTAATGGCTTGAGCAATCTTCCATTCTTACATCTGGTAATCTGAGCAATGTAGTTGAAAATAACAATATGTAATATAACAACCACTGTTAGTTCCTATCATTTTGTGTTGAAACCCTGTATCACTTTTAAGGTGATTGCTTTGTTTTGTTTATGTTTGTGATGTTGGTATGCTACTATTGCTCTTTTTTTTTTTCTTTTACTACTCTCTTTAAAATAAAAAAATAAGCCATCTGTGTCTTTAAAAATCACTTCATAGGATAAGAACTGGCAAGAAAAAAACTAAATTCTGTTTTATTCACATTTAGTTTTGAGTTTCTACTAAAAATCAAAGAGAGGAAGCAGGAAGGTTTTCAAGCATAGAACAAAGCACATTGTGGCTGCCTATTCATTTAACAAATATGGGTGAAGCACCAGCCTGTGTCAGGCGGCAGCCTCACCACTAGAGACAATATGGTTAGGAAATCTTCCTGAAATTGAGAGTTGAGGATAAGGATGTCCAGAGTTAAGTGGATCTGAGTTAGCTCTTCTGGTAGCTCACTACTGAAGGTATTACTCCTACTTCTGGCATTTCTGCCATGCCCCTTATTTCTCCTTACTTTCATGTAATCTGTCCTTTAATGACTTTTCTTCTCTGCTTCCAGATGGCTGATAAGGTCAACTGGTTACAAAGCCCAAATGGAGTATGCAAAGTTGATGTTTATTCACCCGGAGAAGGCCAGCCCCAGGACTGGAAAATGGTAAGGGTGAACCTCTGTTTATGTGTTTGAGACAAGGTCTCACTGTATAGCTCAGACCTGCCTTGAACTTGCTAGCCCAGGCTACACTTGAACTCACAATCCTCCTCCCTCAGTCTCCTGGATTGTAGGATTGCAGGCATGCATTCCCATGCCTGGCTGAGCATAACCTGTCCATAAACACCAGGTTAGGGATATGTGAGATGTCATCAAGAGTAGCCCTGCTCTCTCTAGCATCGCCACCTACATCTTATATTTTAAGGTGAGATTTTTGGTGGGAAAAATGACCACCTACAGACAAGAATTTCCCAGTTTTCTCCAACAAATTCTGTATTTTGGGGGAAAATGCTTTTTATATGGTCGCTGGCAGGAGAAATGTGCTATAACTAATGAAAAAAGTATACTTACAGTTGCAAATTTTTGTGTAGTTTTCAAAGAGAAATGAGTTGGAAATGTTTCCAAGGCTCATAGAAAATATTCTCTGAAATGTAGGTTGCCTTAAAATTCTGAGAACTATTACCTCTCTTCTCAGTAATATTGTCACTCTGCTGTTGCCATTCAACATTTATTAAATGCTTAATATCTGATACTGTATCAGTCAAAGCACAGTGAGAAGATAGAAACCACACCAGTCGTTTTATATTATAAACTGTTTACTAGTAAAGGGCAGTTAACTACTAAAAGATAGTAAAAGGAGTTTAAGAGTTCCAGAAATAGCACATGCAGAAAGCAGCTCTCCTCCCCTCAGACCAAGAGAAAAAGAATAAGAAACTAAGAGCTCAGAGGGCCTCCCTCTTCCTAATCCAGGGCTGCTTCTGGTGTCTTAGGACATAGAGTAGCTGCTACCAGAAGCTTGTCAAAAGGTACAAACAAGCCATTAGGAAAGCCCTCTGCTCCTGCTGTGATTATATAGGGCCTTCTGGAAGACTGCCTTCTGTTGACAAATCCAACTGCCAGAGAAGTATTTAAGGGCTCCAGTCCAAGCAAGAGTCATAAAGTAAGGCAAAAAAGAGTGGATTTGGAGTGAGAGGTGCATTATTCACTTTTCCATCACTGGGACAAAATACTCAACACTCACAATGTACAGGAAAGAGAGGTTTATTTGGATTCATGATTTCAAAGTGTTCAGTCCATCGTTGGCTGCCTCCAGTACAGAAATGGCAAGGAGGATTGGCCTGGCACAGGAAAGCTGCTCAACCCATGATGGCCAAGAAGAGGGGGTCAGGGAAAGGAGAATCAAGAATAAATCCTTCCAGGTCATACTGTCAGTGTCCGTCTTTTCTGACCAGGCCTCACCTCCCACCAGTACCTTCAGTATGAACCCATCAATGGACTAATTCACTGATGAGCCTACTGCTCCAGTGATCCAATCACCTTCCAATTCCCCACCTCTTAACATATAAGACTTTGAGGGGACATTCTAGACCTAAATCATAACAGGCAGCAAACTGGCTCAGACACTGTTCCAGTGTTAGTGTCAAGAACAAAAATAAATTAGAAACACTTCCCTCCTTTTAAAGCTCTCATAATCTAATGGAATCACTACTGTAATCCTTACCATTAGTATTAACATCTGTTAAATATGTTTGCATGTAAACAGGTTATGTGCCCCATCTTCTATTTATTCCAAATCTACTTTTTATATATAGGAACCTAAAAGAGAAAACCCTAACAAATTTACATAAAATAGTTAAGACATAAAGGTAGTAAATTTCAAAGTAAGAGCCAACCCAAACTGATTCTCTTCAATCTTCTGTTGACCTCTGCCCTTTAATGTACAGAAATTAAAGGCAGACTATTCAAATAAAGTTCCTGTATTCTCTCACCCAACAGAATAGATATATAAACAATCCATCCAAGAGATGATTCAGGCAATAAGCCAGGATCCTAATCACTGCTGCCACCAATGATTACTGGTCAGGAATGGACCCAAACTAAAACCATGAACAAAATGAGTAGAAAGGAAAGCTAAAAGAAGAGCTTCTGCAAGGTCCTGTTGTCACTCTAGGAGCCAAGAAAAGAGGCCTCTTAGTGTGCCTCTGCTAAGTTGCCATTTACCTTCACTAGGTGAGTCTGTGGGGCATCTTGCTGGAAGACTTCCAAATCTATGAAAAGGTCATTTTCAGAGAAAGATAAGCTAATGACTCTCATATGTTACAAAAGTGAGGACCGAGGATGTAGCTCAGTGCCTGCCTGGCAATCATGAGGCCTTGAGTTCGATTCCCAGTAGCCAAAGAACCAAATGAACACATTTTAAAGATTTTATTTGATTCACTAAAAAAAAACTGGTGAGGTTCAAAAACGTAAATCAGAAATGTTATGCTGTATGTGCATAGGGAGGCCCAGGTGACCTTTTCCACTGTGGGCGTCAAGCCTCCCCTTACAAGTGTATAAAAATTATATGTAATAGCCTTGTTGTCAATTAGCAATGATTTATAGAGTTGTGAAAAGCTCCAAGAGAATGACAGGTAGTGTGAGAAGTTGTACTGTAGACAATGTGTAATTTCCACTGAAGCCATCATTTCTACTGTAGCAGCTATTATTCATATGAGGGGGACCCTTTGGAGGATTTGAAAACCAAGAACTTGCCCTTAATTCTGACATAGTAATGAGCAGCTTAAGCTAGCATTGCAAAAGGCTGGTACTGCTGCTTCTCTTTGCTTCCAACTTACCAAACCCAGGCTGTAACATTGGGATGGAGGACACTGGTTTTAGAGGCAGAACTAGATCTGAATATGAGCCCCACCACATACCATCTGTGAGACGCTAGACACATTATTCAGTTTCTCTAAGCTTCTGTTATCCTGCCAGTGAAACTAGAAGAGTAAAACTTACCTTACAGGGTAAATCTGAGGATTAAATGGAATATTTATATAAAGCACTTGATGCAGCTCTTGGCAAACTTTACAGGTATTTTACAAACACTAGCTGGTAAATTTTACTTTAGTGGTAAACTATTTGTTTTGGAGGTACACTAGTGTTTAGAGAATAAAAACAGTAAGGTAGTCTTTAAATTCTCATGGTCATTTCCTGTGTCTCTGTCTCTGTCTCTCTCTGTCTCAGTTTTTTGAGACAGGGTCCCACCATGTCATTCAAATTGACCTTAAACTCATAGCAATCCTCCTACCTCAGCCTCCCAAGTGCTGGGATTACAGGCATCCATTCCCATGCCCAGCCTCATTTGTAAATAAACATATGAAGCCCAATAATTACAAGGTTCTTTACATTTGATAACTAAATGGGACATTTCGTTGTTATTAGTAACATTATTTTATCCTATGTTCAAGTGAAGAGTTTTTCATGTAAAGATTATAATAGGTGCATACACAGATATGTGCATGTTCTCATTACAGCTAGTGTCCATCACAGTCTGTATTCCCTCAAAACCAGTGAATTGCCCACAGATATTAACTCCTCAGTTGTAGATCAGGCTGTTGACTTAATTGATGTCATGTGCTCCACTGGAAGCTACTTAATATATTAAGATTGTGCTTGTGTACCCTGACAGATAATTGATTACATACAATTTTCCCATTTTGGGGGAAAACTATACTAATAAGAAACCTGAACAAAAACAAATAAGCTCTAGGAAGTAGCAATTAAGATCAATATAAGAGATACCTACTGATTCAGTTCAAATGTTGACTCTTCTGTGTGGCTGACGACTTTGGAATTTGAAGATGCATGCAGTTAGAAGCCGTATGTGCAGTAGCTGACAATGTGGGCTCTGGATTAGAATTCCTACTGTGCCATCAATTGGCTGTATAACTTCAAATGAGTAGCTAACTAACTTCTCAGGTCTTCAATTTCTTCCCTATAAAGTGAAGATAAAGAACTAATATTTAGGTTTATTGTAAGAATAACATTAAATGAGATAGTAGTCTTAAAATACTTGAAATAGTGCTTGGTACCTAGTAAGCGCTCTGTAAATGTAGATTACTTTTATTGCAATGATGGAGGAAGCCTGAGGGGGGGTGTGACAATTTTAGTGACAGGCATTTGAGGTTATTCTGAAGATCCCATTGCTTTACTTTGTTACAGTCTGATGAAACCTTGTCTGTTTTTAAGGACACCTCAACAGATCCTGTCAGAGTGCTCAGCTGGCTCCGCAGAGACCTGGAAAAGAGCACAGCAGAGTTCCAAGATGCTAAATTCAAACCTGGAGAATCATCATTTGGTGAGGAATTGGCCAACCCCGGAGACCCACGCAAAGGTTTCTCTGTAGACTATTATAACACTACCACCAAGGGAAGTCCAGGAAGATTGCATTTTGAGATGAGTCACAAAGAGACTCCTTCCCAGGCTGGCAACAGGAGTTCAGTAGATGAACTCTCCTTGTTTGCAAACCACCTCACAAATCTAGTCATAGCCATGGCCCGCAAAGAGATTGATGAGAAGATCGATGGCTCTGTAAAAAAATGTATCCATCAATCAGTGTATATGGGGGATGACCCCTCACCCCCAAAAAGCCTGAGCACAGTAGCTTCTGAGTTGGTGAATGCAACAGTCTCAGAGTGTGTCAAGAACGCTAACTCGGACAAGGCTCCTGGCTCTGGAGACAGAGCCTCAGAATCACAGAGTCCTCCAAATCTGAAATACAAGTCTACTTTAAAGATCAAGGAGAGCACCAAGGAAAGCAAGTGTCCAGGTGACAAGCCTGCTTCTAAGAAGTGCTTTTTCTATAAGGAAGTATTTGAATCTCGAAATGCAGGAGATGCCAAAGAGGGCGGGCGGTCCTTACCTGCAGAAAAAAAGATGTTCAAAGGGAAGGAAAGGCCTGATGACTTCACAGCGTCTGTTAGTCAAGGGATCATGACCTACGCCAATAGTGTGGTATCTGATATGATGGTCTCCATCATGAAGACACTGAAGATCCAAGTAAAAGACTCAACCATCGCCACCATCCTGCTGAAGAGAGTCCTGATCAAGCACGCAAAAGAGGTTGTCTCAGATCTCATCGACTCCTTCATGACCAACCTCCACAATGTCACGGGAACTCTCATGACTGACACAGACTTTGTCTCTGCTGTGAAAAGAAGTCTCTTCTCTCAGGGAAGCCAAAAAGCCACAGATATCATGGATGCCATGCTAGGGAAACTCTACAATGTGGTGTTTGCCAAGAAAATCCCTGAGACTATCAGGAAAGCCAAAGACAAGTCCGAGAGTTATTCCCTCATCTCCACGAGAGGCATGGGTGACCCTAAGGGCCGGAACATGAACTTCTCAATGAAATCTGAAGCTAAAGTGAGAGAAAAGATGTATTCTACATGCAAACCACAGAAGGAGAAGACGTGTATTGAAACTGTAGGTGAACACATCATCAAAGAGGGACTGACCATGTGGCATAAAAATCAACAAAAAGATTGCAAATCCCCACGTCCTGAGCGTGCAGCATCTGCAGCTCCCAATGAGCAGGGTGGCCCTGTGTCAGACCCTCTCTTTGAAGATCAGGATACTTGCAACTTCAGCCCTCCTCTGTGCCACCCAGAAGATCTTGAGAATTCCATGTGTGATTCAGACTCCTGGGCCAAGGACCTGATCGTATCTGCCCTACTTCTGATTCAATACCACCTGGCCCAGGGAGGGAGAATGGATGCACAGAGCTTCCTTGAAGCTGCTAGCACCACCAACTTCTCCCATGGCAAGTCCTGTGCAGCTCCCAATGAGTCTAACCTTAAGTATCCTCATCAGGTTTGTGACCAAGAACAAACAGGAAAGAAGGATCTCATGAGTGTTTTCTTCAATTTCATCAGGAACTTACTTAGTGAGACCATTTTTAAGAGTGACCGTTGCTCTGAACCCAAGGTGCGGGTTAAGGAAGAAGGTGGCAACCAGTGTGAAAGACCTGTGACTCCTTGTTCTACCAAGCCATGTGAAGACAGTGAGGCTGGTGGTCCCTTCTCTGAACTGACCAAGATGGTCGCCAGCCAGGTAGATGGTCACATGAGTGGGCAGATGGTAGAGCAGCTCATGGACTCCGTGATGAAGTTGTGTGTCATCATTGCCAAGTCCTGTGACTCTTCCTTGGTAGAACTGGGAGATGAGAAGTGTGGAGATGCCAGCAGGCCAAGTTCAGCCCTCCCAGATAGTTTATATGACTGCTTACCTGTGAAGGGCACGGGGACAGCAGAAGCTCTCCTGCAGAACGCCTATCAAAATATCCACAATGAGCTGAGGTGTCTGTCAGGACAGGTGCCTGAAAGTTGCTCAGCCCCCAAGGTGATTGTCAGCAACCACAACCTAACAGACACAGTCCAGAACAAGCAACTGCAAGCCGTCCTTCAGTGGGTAGCTGCCTCTGAACTCAATGTCCCTATTTTGTACTTTGCTGGTGATGATGAGGGGATCCAGGAAAAGGTAAGAAAGGCCAGAGGAATTTGGAAAGGTTTCCTAAGGGTTAATTTGGAATTTGTACACTATTTGCTTTCTGAATGGGAGTATAACTACAGTAAGGGTCAAATGGGGACTGTAAAAACTCAAAGATCACGCCACTTGGCAGAGATAATGGATAAAGTCAAATTATATATTGCCCAATCAGAGACATATCAAAAGGAAAAAGAAAAGGTGAATGATATTTTTCGATTTTTTGCATTTATTTGTGAGAGTGCACATATAAGGAACTTCCAAGAAATTTGGTGAAGGAATCAGATTAAGGTCTGGGCTGCAGGCTGACTTTTGGGTAGAATAGAATTGCCTGAAATAAGGTGGAGTTGTTGGAATGTATCACTGGGATGAGATGAAGAGGAAGACAATGGGTTTGGTTTATGGCCATTTCAAACCTGTCACTAATATCTGAGGTGGTGTTGGGATTTGTAGGAATTCAATAAATAAAACCTCTCTTGCCCCTACTGTGAGTTCTGATTCAGTTGAGAAGTAAAACTAAAGACAGATGGGAGATTGATCTATCACTACTGTTAATGATAAAGGTAAGTGTTCCAAGTTCTCAAATCCCCACCAAAGTCTTCCAGTGAGCGTTCAGGACAGTGATCTGGAGAGCACGCACAAGCACTCAAATTGCAGCTGAGAGTAGCGTGGAGGAATTGAAAGAGTGAGACCATATCTACACACTTCCCCAACTTTGGGTTATCTCTTGATTGTGAGAAGTAGAACAATGGCTTTTATCAATTGATTTTTAGAAAAATTCATCTTTGGAGTTGGGGGTATAGCTCTGCAGTAGAGCATTTGTTTGCATGTATGAGTCCCTGGGTTTGATCCCTAGTAAAAGAAAGAAAGAAAGAAAGAAAGAAAGAAAGAAAGAAAGAAAGAAAGAAAGAAAGAAAGAAAGAAAGAAAGAAGGAAGAAAAAGAAAGAAAGAAAGAAAGAAAGAAAAGAAAGAAGAAAGAAAGAAAGAAAAGGAAGAAAAAGAAGAAATAAAGGAAAGAGGAAGAGAGAAGGAAGAAAAACAAAACAGAAAGAAAAGAAGAAAAAGAAAGAAGAGGGAAGGGAGGGAGGGAAGAAGGGAGAGATGTAACAAAAAGGAGGAAAAATTCGTCCTCGTGGAAACCAGAAGATGTGGAGAAAGAGGCTTTCTCTTTTTAATAAGTACTATTAGTAATCCTTGTCACTGGGCTACTGGGTTTATCTGATGACTTAGAAGACACAGATTATATAATGTCCTGATTAGCCTGCATCAAGCTGAAACAAGAAACTGTGACCTTGACTTCAGTCTTAGCAACAATCTGTCTTAGCAAGACTACAGGTTTACTCAGTGTCATCCAGGAACCACCATTATTGGGTCTTGTTAGAAGTGCACAATCTGAGGCTTAGCTCCAGACCTGCTAGACCAGATTATTTAGCAAAGTACCTAGTTGTGAGTGCATATTGAAGTTTGGGCTGGAGCAGAGGTCCCCAGTTCTGTTAAGGACTGGGCGTGCACAACCGGATGTGGGTGGCAGACAAGTCAGCAAGCTTCATCTGTACTTACAGCTGCTCCATTGCTCAAATCACCACCTGAGCTCCACCTCCTGTCAGATCAGCACTGACATTAGACTCTCACAGGAGCACACCCCCTTTCAAAAACCGTGCATGTGTGGGTTGCAGTTTCCTTTAAACCTTCCTGAGACCCACCCCCACCCCCACCCCCGCTGTCTGAGAAAATGCTGTTTTCCTCAAAACTCATCCCTCAGGTCAAAAAGATTGGGATCTCCTGGGCTAGACGACAGCTGGCGCCAATATTAGATATGCCCCTAAACGTACTTGGCAAGATCTGTCTCCTTACAAGGTTTTCAATCTGTAAAATGCATAACTGTTGTGATACTTGGCAAGTAGCAGCAAGCAGGAGGAGAGGCTACAGTCTGGCAGAAACTTTAGATTGACGAAAAAAATCTAACAGAGCCTTCATGTGTACAGTGTGTAAAGAGGGCACTGGTTCTGTATTCATGTTTTAAGTGAAGCCCATGATACACATCATGCATAATACTGGTTTTAGATTATTTTGAATTAGACTGTTTGTAATATATCTGTCTAAAATGAGACCAGCAGACTAGCAGTCCACAATTCTGCCCATCCTGAAGATAGTCACCTATTATTTTCTGAAAGGAAAAGACTGGATGGGCAGAGCAGCAGTGTAAACTTCACCTAATGAATAGATTTTCATAGAGCATTATTATTAAGAGCAATAAGATGACACAAACTCCAAAAAACTACCTAACAGTGACTTTTGGAGGAAAAAGATTAATGTAAACAAATATTCTCATGCTGATACGGGTGACTGACCCTAGTGGCACTGGGGAGCTGTGAGCCCACTTCACTTAAATGACCTTATTTATTTTTGAATAGGCAGTGCATGTGCAGAGGTCAGTATCCAGAAGTAGAGAAGAGTGCACAATGAAGAGAGTATTTCCACATATGTATCCCCATCTTGCCTCTCTTGAGAGAAGAAAAGCTATTCTAGTCTCTCTCTCCTTTGTTTTTGTTGTTTAGCCTATTCCATAAGTTTTTAATGTTTTTTGGTTTTGTTTGTTTTTAGTTCTACATTTCCTGCTTTAAAAAAAATTTTTTTTTGAGACTATCTGCTTGTCTCAGGAGGATCCTTATGTATCTGTTTCTTGCATGGAACTTTCTCCTTCTGAAAAAGCTCATGATATCTGGCCCACTTATTTGACCTTGACTCTGATAAGGAGCAGAATACACAAATAAAAACTTGATTCTTTGAGATAGTTTGTTGCCTTTAGGATTTCAGATAAATGGCAATATACTGTGTTCATATTAGTACAGTTATTTTTTTGACTTCTTTTCACATTTTGTACTGGAAAGAGGGCTAAGCTTAGGGTCCAGAGACCTGGATTGCATTTTGGCTCTGAGAATGACCAGCAGTGTCATATCATTGTGACAAGTCTCTGTCACCTTGCTGGGCAGTACCTCCCTGTGGTCAGATTGCTGGCTGAGGGCCCTTCCTGCTCTCATAATGTAGGTTCTCTGGTCTATGGAACATGGAAAGCAGCATCCATATGTCCTTGTTGGCTTCAGGACAACAATGGAGACTGTTTCATGATAGTAGGGTGAGTTTAGAACCTTAGAATTCCTAGGAAGCAAGAACACTATTGACAAACACCCTGGGAAAACGTCACCTTAGAGAGGAAAGACAGGGATATTTGAATCTTAATGAGAAATCACATTTCCCATATCATGGGCAGATGATTATTAACACCTCTTCTTTGAATTAAGAGTGATGTCATCAACTTTCTTCTGTCAAGCAGGCTGACAAAGGAAGTCTTCTTAACCTCTAACTGGTCTCTCCTGCTGCCGATTCCTTTTGGGTCTAGTCACGGCAGTTTCTTTCCAGCCTTTCTTGGGATATTGCACCCTCCACGACTGTTGTCTCTGCTCTCCACAGCTACTCCAGCTCTCTGCTGCTGCTGTGGAAAAGGGACGCAGCGTTGGAGAAGTTCTGCAGTCAGTGCTGCGCTACGAGAAGGAGCGACAGCTTGACGAGGCGGTGGGAAATGTCACACGGCTGCAGCTGCTGGACTGGCTCATGGTAAACCTGTGACGGGAGCCCACTCGCAGCAACCGCTGCTCCTGAGTGGGCCCAGCCCTTACCTCCCACCACAGCCACCCTCCTCAGATCCTCTCAGAGCCCTCATGCTACCCTCACACCACTCTCATCAAAGACGCATCATCTTCGAGTCACTGAATTTTGAAGATTTTCCTGTCCATGCGAGCAAGGACGTAAAATTAAAAATTACAATTAAAGGGCTCCATGTGTTTGGTTTCCTTGGGATCCAAGGGGATATTAAGGTAAAAATACCTAAAGAATGAGAAGAACATCAGATGGATGGCGGAGGCAAAATGGTGCTGGACCCAGAGGCACTAGCAAAGCCACTGTGCCTGTCCTCCATGTTCCCCGTTAGTGTGCCACAGTTTCCAGCTCCCTCCTTTCATCTGTACCCTCAAAATAAGCCACAATTCATCCAGAATTCATTTCTCCTTTTATAACCATGGAGATCAGAAAGTAGTTTTTATATCCAGTCACAGTCATTCTAATCACCATGCTGAGAACTTGTCTCCTCGCTCTGTCTCTGCAGAGCTACAGAACAAATCTCTTCTAACCTTACATATGGCTGAGGATAGCGTAAAAAATGGCCCCAAGCACTGGAATGTGGTTCAGTGGTACAGTGCTTGCCTACTATGCACTAGACCTTAGGTTCCACCCCAGCACCACAGAATAAGAAAAAAAGTTCCCAGGACCTGAATTTGTTTCTGACTGTCAAACCTGAGGCATGTTACCTACTATGACACTGCATTTCTTGACTTAAAGCCCAAGTCATCCCACTTAAGGGATGACTTTTCATTCTTATCCTCTCTATGGAATTTTATATTCTTCATCCTGTTTACCTTCTAGAAACTTCCTCCTCCTCTGGCTAATGTTTCTCCTAGTCCTCTGTGTCTCTTGGGGGAACTGTGCTCTATCAACTCCTTCTACATTTATCTTTGCTAGGATTTTCTCTTGCCTGTAGATTCATTCTGTCATCTTCCCTGGGCAATCTCATGCAAATCCATAGCTTCAATTACCTGGTGTCACCTTTTATGGAATATTATGCAGCAACTAAAATGGAAACCAGGTATTAAAAAGAGAAGAAGCAAGGCTAATAGATGACCTTGATGACATTGCCCTCTCATCTTGTTTGAATTCCTAGATTCTGCTGTGTCTGAAACCACATCTACTTCTGATTCTCACCAATAATATAAGCCAATAGATAGTCCTTCTTGTTTAAAGTAAGTGAATTCAGCTTCTATCATTTTCAGAGAATCCTGCTTGACCTAAGTTAGCAGGCATGGGAAAGGAAAAACAAAGTTCTACTGATGCCATAACATTGGGTCCCTCAAAATATCCCCAGCATACATTCACACCTAAAAAGTGAGTTCAATTATGAGGTTATCCACCCCTTCATAAGAGGAAATATGCCAGTTATCTGTGTGAATAGTTTTAATTTTTGAAATATTTATGCATAAAAAATGTGAAGTATTGTACAATATAAGAGCTGTCTGTAACAAATCACAGGTGGAAAGGAACAGGACATGCCTTCAGCAAGGGTCACATAATAGGTGGCAGAGTGTTTGTGTTTTTGGGAGAAGAGTTTTTGCTTTGTTGTTCTCTGGAGGTCACCGGTGCCTCTTGTCCAACAGTGACCTCTGGCTTCTTGTGAGTGTCTGCGATGGGAGGCAGCTGGATGGTGTCAGTGATGTGTGGGAGAGACGCCTGCTGCGCACTGGGATTTGGAGAGTGCTTAGTGGCACCATCCTTGTTTTTGTCTGTGGTGTCTTTGGAGGTCTCACCTACCAAAGAGGAGAGGAGACAAGAAAATAAGCATTCCATATGAGTTAGTGTGCATTCTAATTTCCCATTAAGCTGTAAAGCACTTAGCAGAAATTGTGGTTGTAATGGTATAAAAGTAGCTCATAAAAAGCACATTTTACATGCCAGGCCTTATTCTAAGCATTTTACATTTACTAATTTACTTGACGCTTTCAGCAACCTTACAGAATAAGCATTCTCATTCTCATAAGTCAATTGCCCAAGGGCCCACTCCCGGTATAGTCTGGCCAGAACTTAATCCCAGGTAGCTTGACTCTAGTGACCTATACTGTGGTGTACTGCAAATTAAAGATTTGTGTAATGCCACGGTAACAATGACTCTTCAGGTGATTATAGGGCACAAAGGAGTAGGCTCAGAGAGTGAGCACGGAGGGAGGTGAAATGGAATAGGGTACAGGAGAAAAATGGAAAGTACTAATGACAAGGGCCAAAAAGCAAGAGTCCAAAGTTTCCTAAAAGAGGAAAATCCCCAAAATAAGAAATGGCAGGCTAGTCGTAGTGTAGCCAGAAATGAATTCTTCAAGGTTAATTTCAGAGAAATTGTCAAAATCCTCCAGAAATACCTGGCTCCAGGGACTATAGCAATAGGACTGGCTGTCTGAGGAATGTACCTTTTTTATTTTTGGTGGAATGATGATGTCCTTGAACCTTGTTTTTGCTTGGATCAGAGGGAAAATGGAAACTAGATTTCCTCAAGGTCTGGGGCCTGGGCCATGGTTTGAGATTCCGTGTATCATGAATCCAGGCGTGCTTGAGGGCCTGATCAGGGGTCATGCGAAGTGAAGGTTCCCATCTGCACACCAACAGAGCCCAGAATGGGTTATTGGTCTTCTCCCCTTTTTAATGTTACAATGCTTTTTCAATCCAATGAAGATATTTTTCATTTAAGCTATATTTTATCTCAAAGACATCATCAACGAGACAACATACAATCTTAAAGTAACTGGAAACAACTATTGGAAATAATCTTCTTAGAAAATTTGTGTAATGATTCAGGAATACATTCAAATCTAAGTTTTGTTAGAATCCCTAGAAAGAATCATTTTAAAAAAGTAACTGATAGGATCTAAGATTTGGTAAAAAGATAAAAATAAATTCCCAAACTATGGGATTTGGGCCGCCAAATATATCACAAAGAAAATTACAGAATTTGAATATACTGCATTAAGTTTTGTAAGGGAACTGGATATAATTCAGGCAAACTTTTAACACAGTAACAAAACACATTTGATAGAACTCCCAACATAGACTCATCCTGCCATCATCAACTAATATTGTGACAAGGCTAACATATCCAACAATTCCAATCTTGAAAATTTAGATTAAAAGGTTTTTTTTCATTTTTATTTAGCCACTGTTGACCACAGAAAATTTTACCAGGTCTTTATTCTACTCACTAGTGGCATATAAAATAAAATGACTAATCTTTTTTTTATGTCAGTCTTTCAACTATCGGAAAATGCTTATATCACTATTATTGATCATATGATATGGTTTCTACCATCTGACCATCTTCTAAGGTAGTAAAATCAATCTGTGGCCCATCATGCTGGGAATAGCTCCCAACTTCAAGAAGATGGTATAAGCATTCTAGACTTACCAATGCCACAAACAACTCAAGACCCCAGTTCTTTGTCAAGTGCACTGCTGTTAAACTATGTCTCTCTTCTGGCCTTCTAGAGTTAGTCTACATAGGATTATATATTTGCCCCTATTTGATTCACCCTTTGGCTCAAGTTTTAGTCTCATACAAATGATTTGCTCATGAGCAATATATGCATTAGGTAACAGTCTCCATTGGCCTCTCACAAGTTGTAAGCAACAGTCCTTTGCACTAAGAGATCATGCCTTTCTTGGTATTGAGCCCTATGTTCTGGGTAGTTGGGTTTCTGGATACTCTACTATCTCAGTGGTCAGTTTCTGTCATTGCTAAAACACATTCATTCTGTAGCTTCAGCACAAGGCTGAGGTGGTTTATTTGTTTTAAAACATGAGATATGGAATCCTCTATTCAGATAAGTAGGTAGAATGGCCTCCCATAGGAATGCTTCCAAATGTATCTGATGCTTTACCCTCCAAGTTAGTGCCCAAACTTCATAATACATGAATGCTAAGGGAGTATTTTGGTGAATTACTGTCTCACTGGAAGAATGAGGGAATACAAAGATGTGGTCTTCTAAAAATGTTAAATAGTTACCTACAGGTACCCTAAGAATACCTCATTGTATAAAAAAGGAAACTGAGACCCCAGAGAGAAATGGTGTTTTACTAAATATCGCACATAATCTATTTGTTGGTGGAGACAGACTTGCAAAAAACTTCTTTAACAATAAAACAGTAGTAAAACAATAGTCAATATTTTCCAAACACTTAAACTGGACACTGCTGAGTGCTTTGTGTGTTGATTTCTTTCTTGGTATGACTTGATCTACAGCATCAGATTCACAATGTGCATATAGACTGGAAGATGCTGTGCATAATAAATGGTTTAGAGCTCATTCTTCCCATAGTTTCCTAATGTAAGACAATTTAAACACAAAATCCTAGCAGGATGGGGAGGAGCCCGGGAGCCAATGTGTGTTGGATGTGTAAGCATGTGGGCCCCCTTAAGGTGGTTGCTTTGGTTCACAAAGCAGAAGACATTAGGACTTGCCTACAGTCTTGCTGCCAAACAGCTGGAAGCCAAAAAGATAATAGACTCTATCCACACATTGCATAATCTGAGGCAAATCAATCTCTCTGAGCTCAGCCACCATTTCTGAAAAGTAGCAGGTAATCTGCCTGATCTTTACACAGTAGGAGAGTGTGCTGTCTGATGTGGAAGCAATTTGGAGACTTTAAAGCTCTACCTTTAGTATTACAGACACTCCTTGTTTAATGACTAAACTCTGCCCCTGCGAGTAGGGTGTTAACAGAATTGGTTGCCAAATGAGGAATTGTGTATAGTACATTCATTACAATAGTCAGAACAAAGAAATGGTCAAAGAAAACTCCAAACGGATGATTCTGGTTTTATTTGCATTTTTCTTACATGCAGTACTGTAATTTATAACTGAACATAAAACTACAGTGCTGTACTATACAGCACAATTAGCAAAAATTATGGTACTGTCAAAGGTGTATGCTGCAAACAAAGACATTGAAGTTTTATCAACAAGATGTACAGAAGTCTACAAAAAGACACGTGTTAAGTCTGAACAATCATTAAATGAGGAATATCTGTATTGTTATTTTTATAACCCTTTCCCAGTCTTACACTTACACTGGCAAAAGTGTGTGAAAATCTACTACTTAACAGGAAACCCAGAGGCAGTAATACCCGACAAACTCACACCAAACACCTTCTGAGGAAGTCCAGGAAGCTGGAGTCACAGGTTTTCAGCACCATCGTAAGATCCTTGGAATCCGGGTACCTTTTTTTCCCCCTGTTGTTGGTTATATTTTTAGGAAAACCTTTGGAATCTTAGAAATACAACATGCTGATTTAGTTCCAGGTGTAAATATTCACTGTTCTCATCACAGCTGTACACTCAACCATGCTGCTTCCTGAAGTGACCTTTGCAGCTCTGTTGCTCTCTACTGTCTCTGCCCACCCCTCCCATCCAGCTCCTCAGGCACAAAAGCACCCACAGACTCAGATAGACCCTGCAGATTACCAGGGGAGACCTACTGACACTGAAAACATGTTTTCCTACTACTCTATATGTTCCCCACATCAGTTTAAATGGTGTAATAGTAAACAGCATAAGCTTACAGTGATAGAGATGATGATGATGATGATGACTAAATAAATCTGAACATACAAAATGGTTCAGAACAAAAAGTATATTGTTCCTTCCTGGATTATCTATGTTTTTGTCCCTTTCTCATTAGTCCAATAAAACGAGTATTTGGGACAGTGAGAAGGTATTTTATAAAGATTTTTTGGAGAACACTTTCTGAGCTCATGCACAAGCCATACAAGCAAACTAACCTCATTTCTTCTTTAGTGTCACACCAAATTTTGCCTGTCCAAATTCTTATTAAACTCCTTGCCCAATGTGGAATTTGTTATCCCTAAGAGGAAGCCCTGAAGGTAGCTCCAAGGATTTTCCAAGGGCTTTTTGTGCATTGCTTTCTGGCTAAGACCATTCATTTTCACATTCAGGTTCTTGTATGCATGTTCAGAAAAGCTAAATGTTTATGCTCACACCTTGTAAGTGTGCACTTAAATGGGGAATGTGTATAGACACGCACAAAGTTTACACATTGAACTGAATTATTACAGAATTCAGTGAAGTTCACAAAAGACATATTCTAGGTGCAGAACAAAGTTCGCTATTACTTGGTAACCACTGTAAATTGCAGGGCCTTGAAAAGACATCTGCTCTTACTAAATTCCTAGAAGGCTTCCATGAAATGTGTACATGAGATGTGTGTACATATATATATGGGTGTCTGCATAAGTATATGGACATAAACTGGCCCAGGGCAATTGTGTAAGGCCTGTAAACTCAAACATCCCATTTGCCTTTGGATGGTGGCACCAGTGCTCCCACCTTATTGTAATCAAGCTCACAGCCTTATAAATAGCATAATTCCAGAAGTGGCCTTTATGTAACTATTTTCTCATGCAAGTTTTTCACAGCCCTCTGGCCCTCCCCATATCTCACTATTCCTTCCATCTTCTTGCCACCCAGGACACCTAAGTTCTGTATCTCACTGTTCTTGAGGCAGCCTTACTGAGCACTGCTAATTAGGACTATTAACCAGTAGTGGCTGGTGCTGGGGAGGTGTTAGCCAAAAGACAGGAAAAGGAGAATAAAAAACTGAAGCAGTGCAATGTTTTCTGAACTCACTGTGTCATAAGAATCACAAGGAACTGTTATTAACATATAATCCTGGGTCTTACTTCTAATCAATAATATCATAGGTTATAGAGAAGTATCATGGAAATTTGTGTTTCTACCAAGTGCTCAAACAATTATTATAATCAGATGAAGTTTGGGAAACAATAAAAGTGATGCAGCTCTCAGCAAAATCCCTTCTTAGGCAGGAAATGTTAGATGTGGGCTCGGAAACCACATCACCATCCTAAAATTTAATGCTGATGGTAGAAATCAAGTACTCTGTGAAGTGGGCATGTCTACGTCTTTCATATCTTCCCACCAAATGTACTATTCTCCCTTCCCACAGTACCAACTTCAATGCTATCTCATGAGATCAGTGTTAAAGGGTTAGCATGTGATTTTTCCTGCAGAGTCTTTATTTACCAGGAGGGAGCAGCATTATCCACACTTTACTTCCTCTAAATCCTTCAAAGCCCAAAATATGAATTCTCTAAGCATTTGTGTGGGAAAAGTGTTTGAGATACAAAGAGTAGCTCCATTGCTCCGTGTATACCTAATATCAGAGGGTCAGCCAGAGTCTCTGCATAGTATCTGACTGCTCTAAAGAAAGGTGCATTTGTGGGCACTGTTGGAAGACAGCCAAGACATGGCCCTAGTCAGTACCAAGGCCCTACAACTTTGGTAGGGCTCAAGGTTATAACTTTTTATTAAATGACAGAGAAGATAATGGTATAACCTTGTATGGCTGCTCACTGCATACTGAGCACCATGACGGAAACTCTTTGTCCTATTGGCTCCCTCCTGTGAATGGTTTAACCTCCCTATGGATGGAGCCAGTTGTGGAAAGCTATGCAATTGACCTGCCCACTCTAAGGCCATTCTCAGTTGAAAATAAGAGTGAGAGGGCTAGGAAGACTGGAATTGTAACCTCAATGGCTGATCAGAAAAGTCATTCCAGAGGGCAGAGTCCCTATCTACGGATTCCATCTCTTTCTATCTGGCTTTGCTTCCACCTGGATAACCTTCAAGCCACTATGGATTTTTCTACTTGGGAACCCCCTAGCTTTTTGTGGTTCTTCTAAAATATTTTATGTGTGAGTCTTACTTAATGGTGCATAAGGTACTGAGAAACCCTACCTCACATAATATCTTGTTATTCCATCTGTCTACCTTGTATTGACAACTCACACAGAAAGACAGAGGATCATAGAATCCAAAGTTTGGGACTTGTGATGAGACAGGTATCATGGGGCTGTGGATGAGGCTGAACTGCAGCAATTAGATGGCCCATTCATAATTGACCAGCAACAACACATTTACAGCAAAGCTGTTTGGACAGTCTTTGCTTACTCATTTCATACCAGAGCTGCAATGAGCCTGGAACAGTAAGAGTCTGGAGATTAGGAGAAAGTTAGCAATGAAGAATAACATTCCATTAATGACAAAATACAACTATGGTGCATGGTGAGAAAAGGAAAGCTGTTTGGGGAGGTGACAAAAACTTCTGTGAGGGGGCT